AAAATAAATCATTATAAAATATACGTAATTTACTACAGAATCAGTAAATACGTATACAAACCTTATAATAAACGTATCATTTCCTTATTTAAATTTATTATAGGATTTCTAGATCTCGTTATCTGCCTTTAGACTGTATAATGAAAGCTCTGATACATCTTTATCTCCAAAATTAAGACCATTATATAATTGATGATTAATTTGATATGAATATTCCCATATTCATTATTTTTTAAAACCAATTAATTTCCGCTCATTTTTTATAATATATTCACAATAATTGCTAATATAATTGTATTAATTGTTTTTATAACTGAATTAAAATCTGGTTTTTCTTTTACACAAGTCTTAAAACTGAAGAATAATAAAGAATGATTTTAGATTTCTATAAATTTTTCACATAATTGCATGAATGATTCTGTTATTATACTACTAAATAGTATTTGAAAGAGTTCTTATATAACCTTTAAATAATTAGCTAAATATGATTTGTGCAAGTCTTCTGCTAATGATTTCTTAATATTCTTATTAGCTTTATAATAAGTATCTTCCTATTGAGCAATATCTTTGTCTCTAATCATTTTATTGCACTCTTCTCATCATAGCATTTCTTTTAAAAGTGAGATAACTGCAAAAAATATTTCTGAGATTCAGGCAAGCTAAAATATTTTACAACTTTTTATTGCAAAGATTATCTCAAATCTCATTATCCATATTTTTACCACCATAAATATTTCGCATATAGAAATATTTAAGTGTTATAGTATTTAGGATAAAGCGCTTTTAGTCAAACTTAAGATTTTCAGCTTCTTCAGAATCAAGATTCTGAGAAGTAGCAACTGCATCAAAATCTGTTTTCTTGATAACTAATGCTTCAATTTAACCTCATTACAAATCCTTTTACAATTCCTTATAACTTTTCAGCTTTTATCTATTTTTATAAGTTGGAGAAAAGCATCTGTACTAGCTATAAGACTGCATAATATCTTAATGAAATTTCTTACAGAAAGACGTTTCTAATGCTTAACTTTGAGATATGATATTATAGCAGGTGATTGATCAAGTTTATATGATATAATATTTTTATTTCATTCACGATGCCTTTTATTGCTATAGGCAAATAATTAGGCCTAGTACTTTCGAATTCATTATGAATATTTTTATAACCTGATAAGTGAAAAAAGCTTATTAGAACTTTTTTGATAATAGAGAGATAGTATGTGCTTTTTACAATCACGAATCTGAAATATTATCTGAATAAAGGCTTTAACATTAACTGGAGTTACAATATTTGTAATATCTATAACTGTATCAAAATGATTAGTCTTTTCAAAAGATATGCCTGCTTCTACTGTACTTGTATAAGCTACATAATCAAATTCACTTCAAGTGGTATTTCTATCTGAAAAATTCTTTTTTCATTATTTTTCGTTTATATTCCCATAATAAGTACAGGCTCTAATAGGAGAATTATTAGATCTTTACAATTTAGAGACTTTTTCAGCCAATGCTTGAACCATACTGCAACTTATTAGAATTAATGCCATATGCTTACCCTGCTGTAATAACTCATATCCTATTCGCATAACTTTAGCCCTACTATTTGAATTATAAAAGTACTCAACAGTTTTACATACAAGGGATTGAAATTTATTATCAATCACTCAAATATTTTCATTGTGATAAGCTTTAAAAAAGGTTAGCGTCAATTCATTTCTAAAAGTATCTATTGCAAGTATATACTAGACTGATTTTAATATATCATATATCATATTTTCAGATTATCATGCATTTGCATCACTATTCATTTAGCAATTAATTGTATTGATTTCATCAAAATAGCTATAATTAAATGTATTAAGAACTCTATATGAAAAAGATTCTTAACTTAGACTATAATAATATTTTACTTATCAATAGATAAGATTTGTTCTTCTTAATAATTACAGATTCTAAGTCTGAATAATTTAAGATCATTAATTTTACCTACGATTTATTACTAAATCCAAATAATATAAGGCAAACTAGCTTTATTCCTGACTAAGAAATTGAAATAATTTCGTAAACCTTTTGTTTTTCCTATCATTATAGGAGAGCAAATCAGAGTTGTACTGGACTTTTCACTTAAAAAGTTGGAATAAACTTTTAGAAAATCTTTCATTTCCTTTATATTAATAGCTTCTTCAGATAGTTTAGGAAGTGAGTATGGATTTGTTATAACATTAGCTATTTTTTCAGCTATTTTTTGCTTAAGTATTGTGAGAATTTTAGTTACTTTTCCAAATACTAAACCTTTATGGTCTGGCTTATATTATTTTTGCTGATAACATTTGAGTATAAAGCATTCATCTTTTCAAAGAAAGCCATACAACTGATTTCTTTTATATTTATCTAAAGTATAGTAAAGGACATTTTACTTCTAGGTCATTTAAATGCAAGGTCATTCTGTCCATCCAAATTCGGAAAGCTTTATAGACCAATGACATTTTGTTTACATTATCATGTGATATGTCTTTTGTGTTACAAAATAATTAATCATGTGAAATATGATATTATAATTTATATATCATACTTCAGACTTTAAATGGATCCCGTTCCCTAGTTGATATCGCAAATAACGTATTTTATAAATGATTTAGCATAAAAGGTAATAAATCCTTTTTTAGTTTTTCTGATTTCAAGCCATTCATATTTTGCATTCACTAAACCAGCTTTATTACTTAAGGCAATTTCATCTTCAATAGGTAAAAACTCCTCTTTTTCTGGCTTTTTAGGAAAAAAAGTTTGAGGTCAAATTTCAGAAGCATTTTTACATCAGGAAAATTTTTATAGCGAAGTACTTCGAAAAATTTACGATTTGTAAATATTTCGAAATTCTTCGCCA